CACCTCCACGACCGGGCAACTTCATTTATTTCCCCAACCGAATAATTACAACTGAAATACCGTCCGCAAACAATACTTTTTTAAACTTTTTCCTCTCGGCGGCTTTTATCCGCAGAGTACCGATCAGCCAACTCATCTCAAAGCGGCCTCACCTAGCTAGAGGACCCGCCCCGCCCCGCCCCGCCCCGCCCACCCCCTCGGTGCCGAAGGTATGAAACGCGCTCATTAAACGGGACGGGTCGAACTGCTCGTTACGGCCGTCGTTATCGGCGAGCGCACGGGACGGGACGGGACGGGACGGGACGGCATCAATAGCCGGCGATAATGCGACCTCTCCGCGTTTCGGCCACGCACCGGCGGGGCGGAGTGGGGGAGTGCTCCGTCAACAACCGGAACGGCCGACGCCATCGCCGCGCCGCCCCTCCTACACTCACCTTGCTCCCACTTTCGCGGTCGACTCATCTCGCCCCGGAAGAGGGGGCCTTGGAATCGGCCGACGGTATGAAATGGAAACGGAAACATTTTAAGTGAGACTGTCAACCCATGAAATAAACTAATTGTGGATACAGAATTGCGAGATTACCGAAAGGAAAGTATACAATGAATGACCCCTTTTCTGAGGTGTGCATTAGAGAATGACCTGCTGAATAGAAGACGATCATGATTTGATAATTGAAAATAAGAGACAATCACTCACCTATCTGCCTTTTCTACCACAAATTCTACATACTTTCACGTTTCAATCCCCTTTAATTAGATATCGTAAGTCTTTCAATCATACGCTTCGGGTCACCCTCCCATACGCATGATTATAAACAACGACCGTTCCGCGCACTAGGTCGTTATGGAACGTAACAATGGAGGCATTAAAACATTAATGACGTCTATAAATTCTTTGCTTAGTCACAGACTTCATGACTGGAGTCCTGCAAATGCTCTTTGTCTGCGCGAAGCTAAGCAATAAGAAAATGCTCAAAAACGGGGCCACAAGTTTTAAGTATCGTTTAATTAACAGAAAAACTTATATGAATACCTAGATAAAATTTGAAGTTAGAATCTCATCTTATTTTCAAAAATCATAAGGGAGGCTTGTGGTTAAAATGTGCATTTTTATACATGTAATATTAATTACTAATTACACAAGTCATATTTGTTAATTAATTGTACGAGGATCTTAAGAAACAATATTACAAGTCCACTAATTTATGCAATAATTGTTTAAAATGCATAATAATAAAATATTACTTGAAACATTTGAATTATTATTTTCTGAGCGTAGAAAATTAAACTTCAGATATAAAGAAAATTCAACACTAACGATAAAAAATGAAAAAATGTTTTAAAAAACATTAAAATCCAAATTACCAAAATGAATTAAGGTTAATAAATACAAATACACACTTACAAAATGTTTTTTACATGTATGTGATATGTTATCAAAAATGTTCCTCATTGCAATCAAAGTCCTTGCCAACTAATAAAATAAAAACAATTGAGACGTTTGATAGCATCACGAAAGAGCACACTTGCATGAGTTTCCTTTATAATTTTCTTAGTTCGGTAGTAAGAGGATTCGAAAACAAATAGCACCATACTGCTAGGGGACCTAAATGCCAAAAATACAAACTGGGGTTGCTCGAACACCAACACTGATGGGAAAATATTAGCTCAAATACTTAATCGCACTACTCTCAAATTAATTTCACCTCCAGGCCCCACATCTTACTGACATGATCGCTGAAGAAATCGCGATATTCTTGAAATCGGAATTACTAACGCTGAAATTAAACTTCACGCTACATTATTCGAACAAGACTCTGATCACATACCGGTCCTAATAACCACACTTCAAATACCCTCAATCAAGTACCAAATCCAAATACGTTAAAAGTTGATTAGCAAGATATAAGCAATTATAACAAATTAAGAGTGTATTAAACACTGATCTTTGAATTGTCCTATCCAAATGAAAATAAATAAATAAAAAAAATAAATAAAACGAACATATACAGTATTTCAATCATTCGCAGGTCAGTTAATTCCCGCTGCTCTGCCAATGACATTACTTCGTCCATTCTCTATACTTCAACTGCTCTGAAAAGCAAGTTCTATGTTGAGAAACCAAAACAAACAAAAGAAAATAATTCATAGACTTTCCGAGTCAGATATGAATGTAAAACGTACGTTCCTGTTATTGACATTAATAATGAAGTTCGTCAGTCTCAGCCATGAGCCTAAAATGCAAACACATTCTCAGTACTTGAAGATGATAGTTTTTTATCTCTTATTCTAAATAATGAAAAATGATACAGTTTCACTATTTCACTTTTTTTCTTTTCTTATTTTCTATCAAATATCTTCTACATTAATATACAAGTCATAGCATTGAAAACGAAATATCGTATAACGAGAAAAAATAATGAATCTCGTCTACTTTTTGCTTCATAAGTAAAGTAAGTTAAAAGTAAAAAGTAAGTTATAACCTTGTGATATTATAAAGCAATTAAATATTATTCGCTTTCCTGATCCATTTGGCAACGGTCTTTCAGTTTTAGTTAACTCCATTATGAGAAAATTATGTTAAAGTGCACTCGCTAACGGAGTCTCCCGCAGCAGCAGTTGTAAAGTAAATCATAAATGAAGAAAAAGGCAATCTATTAAGTAGATTCGGACTCTGAACTGTCTGACACGACTGGTACATTACCAGCAAAGATAGCTCAGGACATGTCAGGGACTGATGTCATTGCAGTGTCTCTAACCGGGAGGCTGTATGGTTCGAGTCTCCATGGTGGCAGAATTTTCGACTAGGTCGAACGCAGCCGCTGTCTGGAGGAGAATTCTAGCGGCCGGCTTCTCTGATCGGTAGTTTTATGCGTTTTCTCCGACCAACACCTGGCGAAACAATACCCTAGCACTACACTACACTATCGCATCTGGAGATCAGGCGGGAGCTTAGAGCTTATCCGCTGAGGCGGTGCCACGCTGGTGGGAAACACCTGCATGGGGAAAATTCCCGAAAGCTGACATTGAGAGTCGAATCTCGCTAGCCAGTGGAGGAAGATCATCGGCCCCTTCTCCGATAAAAACATGCATTACACTTCCGGGACTAATGACAGTTCACGCGCCAGGAACCAAACTAATCAAGGATTGGTATATTGTTATTTATATTCCACAACCCATTTTCGGATTTTTTTCGAGCAATATCAACGAGAAGTCTGTGTTCCAGTGGTATCTGACAGTGAGGAAATGAAAGAAAAAAAAGAACCCATTTCAAGAATCCCCCGTCTCGCAAGAAAACCCACAGGGTGTTGTGAAACGATTGCGCCATCTACAAAGCTTTATCGATAAACCAAACGAAACTATCGATCAGCTGAGGCAGCTTCTCGAAGTCTCTTCCAGAGAGCTGATTCTTTATTCCCAGCATCTCCTTATGTCGCAAATACGCTGCGGAATTTAATACGCCCTCCTGATGTACGAGCTAGTCAACTGCGAAGCTCACCGTTCGTGTTTAAATAAACACTTTGAATGTACAGAACACCCATAAGTTTTTTTTTCAAATTGCTTTTTTTTCGTGTACAGCTTTCATTCACATAGCATTTTTTGAACCAGCTATGCAACAGCTCATATTACACATTCATGGTAAACTGCCATCGACGTTGTGCAATTTGTGTTATGTAGACCATACATTTAGCGTGCCGAGTTAATGGGGTTGTGAACATTGAAATATCTACAGCGCCCCCTCGTAATTATCCAACATTTAGAATAGCCTAACTATTTTTAACAGCAGTGATGTCCTCACTAAGAGGAACTGAACCACAGAAGGAGAATCAAACGAACAATTTGTATGTGTAGGGTGTCAATGAGAGATAAGCATAAGACATATTAATGTAGTTTCGCAACACAGTTTTAAATGTTTTTCGGATGCATGAAAACAAATCAATTGCATGTTACGCTGCCATCTGACTAGAAAATAAAAAAAAACTATTACACTGACTGAGAAGAGGGTTGCTCGTACAGCCGTTTTCCCCTGTTTGACCGGTAGGCCTTCAGAAGCCGGGTACGATTGCATATAGATTTGCATTGTTCTTCATATCTCATTTAATACACGATTGTGTGAGTTATTTAATGTGGAACGCCACATCGGGTTAATGCTAATTACGTTGTGTCAAAAAAAACTGACGTGGGAGTGGAGAGCATTTTGGTTTGTTCAACTCAAAATTTGCACAAATTACTACTTCTCTTTGGCCCCTTCAAATGTGTAGAACAGATTTTTCATTTAAATCGACACATCGAAATAACCATTGGCACAATATCTCCACATTTTCCCATTGTACGGAAATAAGTTGTCAAAAATAAAAGTTTAGAATTTCCGAGGGAGATGTGCGTAACGGAAGCCTCTGGCTGTCGCCTTCTTCATTCTGTCAATAATCCTACAGAGTGGAGTTATCGTGAGCCAGTTTATTTGAAGGGAGAAAAATGCGTTGCTAGGAAATTGTATGAAGGGGGAGGTAAAAAATGATAATTTTTGAACAGCAATTTGTTGTTCAGTAAGTTTTCTTTCTCGCATACTACTTTCAATATTTAAGCTTTCAGAAAGTGGCTGCATATAGTTGGCTTTTAATTCATATTTGATCACCATGATCAGAATGAATTCAGCCAATCTAGTCTGTTCCGGCAAAGACCTTCTCTTCGTTGATCTTCCTTCTCTTTTTCCTTTTGGGCGATAGTAATAGGCCTGCTTGAGCAATCTCTCGTTATTAATTCTTTGTAAATGGTCTATACAGTTTTCTCTGTAGGTTCACGTTTGATGAAACTACAAATAACGAAAGAACAAAATGGAGAGCAATGCCCGCAAGAAGAACGACAGACTGCGATTCCCGAAAACGTCGTGAGAGAAGTTTCCACCACAGAGAGTGTCTCAACAATTCGCGCTGCGATGGGTTCGGTTTGCCGATAATTTAAATAGGAAATACAGCGGTTCTTCCGCTCAAAAGTGAAATTCATTGGACAATTCTAACTAAAGACTCATAGGTTTTGGTGTAAATCCATCTGCAAAAAATTAAGAATAAGAATATGAACTCTTAAAATAACGTGCAGGTTCCTTCCAACAGTTTTAGCGTAGTGTGTACCACGAATAAAATTAAAATAAATTGAAAACAATGATACATGTGTTTAATTATAAAAAAGTTACAAGAAGTACTTTCATTCCACATTAACTCTACTAAGAAAATTTTCTCGCGTGTCAGAAATCTTCTGAAGGAAAATGTTACTACAATTATTTTATTATTTTTTTAGTAGTTTCGACTCTACGACAATCCAGCTTCTATAGCTTCTTGTTTGCACTGAACTAGAATTATTTTCGTGGCAAATCACAATACTCTCGTGACTTTCATAATAAACTAGCTGCTATAACAGTACATACGTTCTCGCATTATTTGTAACATTTTGCATTTTGCAATTTGCGAAAATTCAGAGAGTTCAACAAAAAGAGACGTATTCTGTTTTTAAGCGTCCTTTGAAATTGAAGCAAGAGGAAAATTTTAATCCAAAAAATCGGAGCCTTTTTGATAAATTTTTGAAAATGTTAAGGCTTTAGGTAAAGAACCCCCGAAATCGATGTAGAAGTCAAATTCACAGGGCCTGCAATGCGGTCAAATCGATCGATCAAGGAATAACAATTTTGGAAAAAGTCGTCTGACTAGTTTGGGCGTTAGCGTTAACTACAGAAGAAAAATTGCCAGATATTTTTGCTGTAAACCAATTTTTTGGTTTTAGGGACCCACAAATCGTGGATTCTGACTGCACAACATGTTAGAGAGTAATTTACCACAAACAGGAACATTTGTCGTCTCTTTCGATGTCCGAGCCCATAAAACGAGTTTTCTGGCCAAAAATCACTACTGTTCCCTCCGTTTACAATACTTCACTTAACTACACAAGTACGAGTACGACGAGAAAGTAAAATGGCGTGAAATGTTCAATAGATTTAGGAACCTATGTCAATCTACACGCACGGCATCTGGGAGATTCTGATGCGCGCAGGAAGGGATGTAAAATCACTATTAGCTTTTTTTTTACTTGCTCAGAAATAAGAATTTCATGTCTTAGCTAACAAACTTGTGAAGCGAAAAACGTATCTCCCTGACCAAAACGTATTTTTATGGGAATCCAAAACGAGAGAATTAATTGCAAACGTAATGAAAATCGTGAGTCATACAACGCAACCGGTTAAACATAAATGTGTTTCCCCTCATTACACTGCGTCTTCATATTTCAAGAGGAGAAAACAGGCATTTGTACAATTAAGGCATTATTAACGACACCAATTTACTTTGTTACAACATTTTAACTAGACTGCTTTACAGTGGTATGCGGAATTTAACTTTTTACTAAAACTGACGAATAATTATATCGCGTTGTATTCCTATTTCTTTATTAGTTCTGTTGTCTCCAAAATTTCTCCTTTGAATGAAGCAAATTAACCTCTGAGTAACCGATTGAATAAAGGTGTTAAGTGTTACAATTCTGCATTAAAATAAACTACCTTTAAAGAATTCCTACATTGTTAATTGGTAAAAAAAAAAGAAGCATATTTTCAATTTCATTTTCTTGTGAGGGGCAATCGTGAAGATTTTTTTTTGCACATAAATCAGAAAATTTTGGTCAAGTTTGCCAAGGCACAATATTCATTTCTTTTTAAATATTTTTACACAATCGAAATTTCTGGAATAGTTGACATTTCTTGTCCAAACATTAATTCCCGTTTTCAATGAGTTTAACTAATTTCATAAGACAGAAACCTTGAGTACATTGTGATGAAACTTATTTTTGTAAAAACCTAACTTACTCATAATGGCTACAGTTGCGGAGACTTATTCTAAATTTTTATTCGGTCTCCCTTATCTACATACTAAAATTGTTTAATTTTGCATCAGTTTTTAATTGTACATTAGGCACTTTGCAGTAAAGAGTTATTTTCTTTCCACATAAAACTTCCATGATTCATATTTATTATTTTCTCTTTCAATGTTTTTACTATTATTCCTATGCATATGAAAATACTTTTTAAATATCCTACTATAACTACTTCTACTACTCCTAGTAGAAAGTGAAATTTCAAATCGTAAATTACTTCTGCAGTAACATTAACTCAATTATATATTTCAGATAGAAGTATTGCCAATATAATGCAAGGATAGGAGTAAGAAAGAAACTATTTTTTAATGAAACGTTGGTTCAGTGGATTAAGGAATGTACCAGCCCAGGAAACAGTGGCAACAGTAGGATAATAAGGCATCGAATTTCTAGGTACATAAAACAATCAACAGAAGTTAAATGTTTTATTTATTATAAATTATCTTATCTTAAATATTTCAATTTACCATCTAAAATCAGATAGAACTGTCATCAGAGATGATTATATTGATACAGCTGTAGAAAATACCTTTATGTCATTTCATCTTAAACATACTAGAAGAAAAAAAAAAAAAGGAAGTTTCGCATAGATAAATGAAATACAAATGAATATATATCTGCAAAACAAAAATGAATGCCTTAAAAAATAATACTTGGCAATTCTTAGACAGAAAAATGCAAAACTAATTAGATTTTTAACACAGAATAACTGACAGATCAATACTAACTGGGCAGATAAGGGCACACAGTTCCTGAAATACAAAAGGATTCAATGCACCATACATTCACGATTCAATTCACAATGAATGAAAATGAAACAGAAGCTACCGAAAGCAGGTTGAAATTTCAAGAAGTTACGTTGTTTTTTTTAACGAATAGAAAACTGTAGACACTAAATTCATTCTTTCAAAAAATAATGCCAAAAATGCACAAATTTATTCAGAACACTGACAATTTAAAATCATGCAGATAACAAAATGAAATATATTCTAGCCTTTTTATTTATACATAAAAGAATAGATGTCAAATAGCTTACGAGCTGTTAAATACCCTCCAGCAAAATGAACACAAATACATAAGTGGTGAAACAAGGAACCTCAAACATTAATTGTCACAATACTTATCAAAATTAAATATAAGAGTTCATTACAAAAAGCATGCAATGAAATCGAATCTACGAAGTGTCATCGTAACGCTAATTCACATCATCCATTTGCAGAATCAAACATTTTTAATCATTAGAATGAAACTGGCCATGCAGTAAGCTGATATATAAATATGAAACTAATAATTGAAATACGAATTTAATATTGCATACCACGATGTGAATGTTCAGTGCAATGAAATCTTCGCATCTTCTATTACCCAACCTAACCTGAAACAGCCACGTCATTGGCACATAATATTTCATCAGTTTCAGTTTTGCACACTTACCTCACATCTTTTTTATCTCCTTCTCCTATATTAATCGGCTCAATATCAGCCACAGGAGATGACAACTTCTCCTCTCCTGGTTGTTGAGGATCCCCTTCTTTTTTCGCTGGACCCCCCATCCAGCTACTCACTTGGTTTGTTAGTCCGGAGAACATGTTTAATCGGAAATTCTGGTCTATGAAAAGACACTACAAAAATTGCAGTTTAACACTGACACCGCACTTCAATCTTTTCGCACCAAACTTGTAAACCCATAACCAGCTGCCTCGTCGGTGATAACCTGTCAGCAGCCTGAACGAACACTCCTGGATCTTCCTCGCACTTCTATACGTCGCTTTATACTAGAAGGGGGGCGTAACACCCGCAACTGACCAGGAACCAATCACAACGTTTGTTGTAAAATGTTCACAAAGTGACCAATGAAGTGACAGCACAGTGATGACCTAATACATTTTGACGCTACCAGGTCTCGCTAAAGCATTTCTCAGTCTCTAAATTTGACTTTCGGAAACATAAAACATATCGTAATTTATATGAACTTAATTTAATTTTCGTAACAATATTAATATCCGTTTTTGTAATTCGTTATGCTTCATAAAAGATCCCATAAATATGTCAAACTTGTTCCAGTTACTTTAGATCGAAGTCAGTATTTCTCTAGAATTACGTGAAATAAAGAATTTAAAATGAGTAACTAATTAGTATGGTAATATTTTAATCACTGTGCTATATCTATATAACTGTTGGGTAATATTTCATTTCATAATGAACAAGAAATGTAATTCGAAATGAAAATGCATCACATGACATCGACCGCGTCATTTAAACATTTTTTCTATTACTTAAAGATATATACATTGAATGGTTAAGTTTAAAACCTAACCATTTCTCAAAAACAATCGCCCACTGTAAAAAAAAACACGTGTGTGTTTAAACTGATATTTTTTAAACATTTATTATTATTATTATTATTATTATTATTATTATTATTATTATTATTATTATTATTATTACTACTACTACTATTATTATTATTATTATTACTCTATTGCAACCTTCTTCCAACAATGCTATGGATACATTTCTTAAAAAACATTCACTTGATAATGAATATTCAATTTTTTGGCAGCCTTTTTAATTCAGTTGTTCTGATTTAAAAATTTACAGAGATTATTATATTCTGCAACATTTAATACTATCTTACTATTTATCTTTCTTTTCAAATTTCAAAACTGGAAGAAGCATTTTAGTTCTAGTACGTGCAACAATGGAATAACCCTAAAGAAAATAATAATAAAAAAATGCAGAGGTACATTCATTTTTTTAAATTTTTAATAAACCTTTTTTTCAATTATTTTTGTTAAATATTTTTCAGAAGACTAATGGTGAATGAAGATAATAGATTTTTGAAACACATACAATTATTGAAAATAATGTTTCATGAATATATCATTTTTATTTTAGCCATTGATATGACTTTCTTCCACATTTCATTATGCATTTCAAGCAAAAATGCAAAATTATTTACTTTTATATGGATCATCTGAATAGGTAGACAAATCTTGTCAGAAGATGCTATGTAACTTGATTCAGGACACATTTATAATGAATTCGTTAAGTTTTAATTTTTTATTCAATGATATGACATGAGGATAATTACAATGTAACAAGAGATAATAAATGGTACTCAATTTACAGAACACAATGAAAATAATACCCACAAATTCAGAATATTACTTTTGTTGTCCTTTTCGTTCAAGGACACAGCATATATGGTTCTTCTGATATTAAAATTCCTCTTCCATCTTCTCGGAAAACAAAACCCTTTTGGAATTCAAGTATAGGTTTCTCACTGGCCAAATTTCTCAGAAATGTGGGGTAAGCCACAGTTGCACTAATGTCCTCATATGAAAGTATTGGTCGTCTTTGAGAAGTTTTTTGAAGGTGTATTAAACAGATATTGTGGCTTGAGTTGCTTGTGTTAAATATGTATACTGTTAAATGTGGTTCTATTGTGTGAACATTTTCTTCTTTAATATATTGTATTTCAATATTGGACTGTATTATACAAAAATGACTTGTCCCATGTCATTTTAGGATCAGTTGCATGAAATAATTAATTTAATCTAATGAGTATTCATTGTATATTGAATTAAATATTCAAGTTTATGTCATAGGGACAACTATGATACAACAAAAGATAATTGATAGTGTACAAATAACAGAATACAATAAAAATGTTACACACACTTATATAAACTGATGGTGACACAGCATCCTCATGATGAGTGCTCTAAAGGAAACAAAAAACATACTCAAATAGATACATCTTCAATTTGACGTAAATAAAATTCCACTTTTGCAAATTTAAAATATTTAATTTAAACTGTTTAAATCATTAATGTTTGGGTCCTGATTAACATATTTACCGCAATTCATTTCAGAACACCCAGCTAAATGTTGGATAATTCAAATCACACAAAACATGTTGGAAACCTCAAATCCATTTTGCCCCCAAGTGAGCATGTGTGAGTGAAGAGTTTGTGAAAAAGTGTCACAGCATTCACAACTAAAAATTCAGGTTTGATATTGTATTCAAAGTCATTTATAAGCTAGCCAGTTACTCCATACTTATCAACATTTCTGTTCCTCTCCAATTTCAGTGATTAATCTTCTTTCAATTATTTTAATTTTTTTTTTCTATAATTCACCTGCTGCATACACAAAAATCACCATTTTTAACTTCAAACATCCCCTTCATACAACTTCATTACAAAATTCTTCTGCCTTCCTTAAACGTATATACAATCCATGCCACTTCTTTATATAACAAAACTATAAAAATTTACAATAATATGAGCAGTACAATAAAAAATTAAATGAGGGAATAAAGGAAAGAAAATAAGTAACCTAATACTATAATTTATTTCTTGGTAAAACATGTTTTTGAGACTGTTATTGTCTGCATTCTTCCAAAAAGTCTTCCAATGAGACATTTATTTTTGTAGCGTGTGAACACTTTTCCAGTTATAGCTCTCCCTTTCCATTGTGCAATTTATTAAAAAAGTGGCCCTCCTCCCCAAAAATATTTATAATTTCTTGAATGACTCCTTAGTTTATTCATTTCATAGTTGAATCACATTTTCCCACCTTCATCCACTTGGGAAAATTTTGAGAACCTAATCTATGTTACCTCCAATTGTTATAAAAGAATGAAGGAATCACAGTGTATGTTTAAAAACCCTGTAATATGAAAAGAAAAAGAAATCAATTAGATTCATGTAGTCAACTATTAAGTGCTGGGTAAACATTTTTACAGTTTGTTGTATAATAAATGAGACTGCCCTGTGAAATTCTCATCATTATGAAACCCAAAAATTATTTCTACATTCTGGAATTTAAAAATATTTATTTATTACATAAAATTTAATTAATTTAATAAAAAATGTTTTCTTTATTTAATTAATTATTTCTCTAAAAGTTGATTTTTACTGTTTTGCGATAATTTATAACATTATTTGTCACATTATATTCTATTGCTGATATACTTAATACGAAAAAAATTGAAAACTTATTAAAATATTCCAAAGTTACTCACTAGACATTTGAAGATGCGAGTCATTCTCATTAATGCAAAAGTAAAGCTTTCAGCTTCTATGTGTACCATCAAGAGATTGGAGTCTGCTGTTAAACATGTTTAGATCAAATACATATTTTAGTTTATTTTTATTATGATAAAATGCTGGAAGATAAATAAAGAAATAGAATCAAATATTGACAGAAACAGCTTTGAAGTTATTTATTTATTTTCAAATTCATTAAACAGGCAGTTTCACAATTGAAGAAAACTAAATCAATGGTGGTACAAACAACTGTAATTAAATGAAGGATTACAATTTCTTCAGATGGTTTAACAAGAACATTGATTCAGATTGCTTACAAGAGACATAAGTTCTTAAAGAAAGTTCTTGCATTTTGTTCTGCATACAAAATTGAAATCTTTGGAACTAAACAAAATACCTATGTGTATACTGAGCTTAAAAATGAATTCTCTCATCCTGGAAGAAATATACTGATAGAGATAGACTTACTCCATTTGTTCATATTTCTAGATTATACTTAATCATTATAATAATTGATGTAAGATTCATTTAGTTTAGAAACAAATTGAGAGTTATTTTTATATGATTTTTCTTTCTCTTGATGATTTGGGTTTTGCAGTAAGCAGGCACAGATCCCCGGGTGAAAAATGAAAGAAATATACTCCCCTAAAATTTTTCAGTAACTATTAATTTTAACTTGTCACAAAACTTTCAAGCAAAAATATTTTTGGATTATCATTAAAACTAATAAAATCAAATTGCAGCATTAGCTGAGTGTAGCCTGCTACATTTTACAAATCTGTAATATGACATATTAGATGAAAGCATTATGAATTTGCACTCCCAAAATCCGTCTCTGAATTCACCCCTGCAGAAAGCCTACCTAACCCAGAATACATGCCTTTGCAGAGTACAAAATTGTTGAACAGTTGATAATTTATGAGATAATTAAATAACGGTAATTTACCCAGAAGGAGATATGAGTAGGACCTTAGTGTGCTAATAATAGCAGGGCATTTTACTGCTCTTCTCTTTAATTTTTAATACTTATATACTTGTAACAACATAGAAAAGCATTTCTTCTAAACTAAATTATTACATTTTCCACATCAAGCATAAGCAATGCAATACACAACAATGACTAATATTATTAGGTTCATTCTCTGGAAAGCAGAACTTATAATGAAACAATTTGATGTTCACATTTGAAGTTAGTAAACCTGTATTAAGTATTGATGTAGTAATTTATATATTTCAATTTATCACTTCCACAGTGTGTCCTTATACTACTGAGATATATCAAATATTGTATAATTAAGGCAAATATGATACTAATTTAGTCGAATAATACCTAATTTTAGGCTCGAATGTGACAATATAAAGTTATGTATTGCATTTGCAAAGATGACATGTGGTAGCCATATTGGACATGAAAAAAAAACACAAATATGACACAAATTTCTGGACTTATAAGAGATCGAGGCTGGAATAAAGAGTAAATATTGATCACTGGATATTCGTAGTATAAATTAATCACAGTCATGATATGGAACGTGGTTGCTTTTAAAATTCAATCTAAGTTTTTTTTAGATATCGTCATATGAAGGAATGGGAGATGTAGATACTACCAATGGCGACGCGTTTTATTGCAAGTGTAGGTGTTGAGACAATCAGTGACTGTCTACAG